CACTGAATCATATCCCCAGTACTTTTTTTTAAATTTTGAGACAGGGTCTCTCTAAGTTGCTTTAGGGCCTCTCAGTGTCGAGGCTGGCTTGGAACTCATGATGCTCCTGCCTCTGCCTCCCAAGCTGTTGGGATTACAGGTGTGCGCCACCGTGCCTGGCTAAGATACTGGTTTTCTATTGCTGTGAAACAATGATCATGAATTTAGGGTCCTGAATAGCACATGTTTCTGAGGTCCCAGGTGTGGGGTTCTCCAATCTGGGTGCAGTGCAGCTAGGGTCTATGATGAGGAGTCTCAAAGGCTCGAATCAAGTAATGGGAGGCTGGAGCTCAGGAGGAATGAGCTCAGAGCTCATTCAGGTTGTTGGTAGAACTGCTGGTAGAATTCAGGTTGTTGGTAGGACTGGGATCCTCCATTTCCTTGCTGGCTGTCAATCAGGAGCCAATCAAAGCTCCACAAGGCCATCTGTATCCTTTGCCAAGCAAACTCCTCCATCTTCAAAATCAAGACTTGTGGACTCCCTACTCCCTCTGTCAATCCCTCTCATGCTTCACTTCTCTTCCATCCATAGGAGCCTAGTTCCTATCAAGGGTTCATGTGATCCAGTCCTTGAGGACTATCTCCTAATCTGAATGCCAACAGATTTAGGCCAAATTACATCTGCAAACTCCCTGCACAGCAGGACCTAGATTGACATTCAATTGAATGACTGGGTGAAGATGTATATATAAGAGGGAGTGAGAAGATGGGGGTCATCTTAGAAGTTTTCCAACCACACATAATGAACAATGAGCCAAAGAAGTCATACACAAAAGAATAAGTAATATGACCTTGCACCTTGGTCCATGCCTGCAATCCTAGCGACTCTGGAAGCTGAGGCAGGAGAATTGAAAGTAGCCAATGAGGATACTTGTCATTTCTTGGTCACCAAAGTTTAATGTGAATATGCCCTAAGGGAGTGATTCCTCTAGGTGCCTTGTGATCATCTTGCAGTTTTGTTGCTTTTTCATCAGCCAATTGGCAAGCTGCAGGCAATGACAGGGGTGGGGACATTGCTCATGAGTTGTTTGTTCTTCATTCCAAGATATGATGGGCATTTCTCTTTTGAGACCTAGTGTTCTCTCTGTATTCTTAAACCTCTTCCCCACTCCCAGAGACTTAGATCCTTGTTCTTAAGGGGTTCCAGAAGGGGAATGACCCATCTTCCATAGTGGATTCAAGCTAGAATGGGGCATTGTCCCTAGCTATTCTGGGATCTAAAGTCTCTGCCTGGGGCTGGGGATGTGGCTCAAGTGGTAGCGCGCTCGCCTGGCATGTGTGCCGCCCAGGTTCGATCCTCAGCACCACATACAAAAAAAGATGCTGTGTCCGCTGAAAAACTAAAAAATAAATAAAATTCTCTCTCTCTCTCTCTCTTTAAAATAAATAAATAAATAAAGTCTCTGCCTGCCTGATCTAATGATGACACAAAGAGATCACTCTCCATTGTTAGGACAGATTGGAATTCTTTAACATTGCCATCATTTTAACATGGAATTGTTGCAATCTGGAAGATATAAATTTTACCAGGAGATTAAGAAGGCAAGGATCAAGCAATAGGAGTAGAGTTATAGCAACCAAAGATCCAAACAGTGGTAACAGACAAGTGAGTTTAGGCAGGTAAGCTTAAAGTTTCCCATACATCTCTAGTGTTATCTGGGTGAACAGCTTTAAAGCCAATAGCTTTTTGCAAAACTTGATCAGCACTAGTATTTATTTTTCCAGACACAGTGACATAAAATCAGCAGTAGGTGTTTGCCAGAGTACAAACTCCACCTTCCCAAGCCAATAAATCACCTAGAACCAGCCTATTTTCAATCACCAATTGGGCTAGTAAGCCTAAATATTTTAGCTAGTCATTTAAACTCTTGTCAAGTTTCTATAGCAATGTCCCCTGTGGTTGCGGAAATGTTTTGAGTGGTCACTGCATTGCAAATTATTCCTTCTACCCATCCAATAAGTTATCCAATTAAGGTTATTACCCTAGCTATAATTAGACCTTGAATTAACTCTCTTTCTCCTGACCTGTGTAATGTAGAGGAGTTGGTGCCTCAGGGGTCACTAGTGAAAATTTGCATCTTATCTGCTGGAGTGACAATTTATCTCATGTCCCATGTTCTGGTCATCTCTTGCAATCTGTGCAGTGCAAAATTCATGTGACCCTAGATAGCTCTGTATTTGTGTTATGAAGAACATGCCGCTAGGTAAGCACAGATGTCTGTGTTCAAGATTAGCGTCTCATCTTCAGGAGATAGTGAAGGGTTCCTTTGCTTAACAGAGATAGGATGATATTTTCAGGAAGGCAATTTAGGCCTTTAATGATCATTGGTGAATGCAGACTGTTAGAGATGGGGGTTTAAAGCCCTTGGGGGTCTGCAGGATTGATAGGATAGTATCATTTGGTGGGGAGAATATTTGGGGTTTTTTTGTTTGTTTATTTGTTTTTAGGAAAATAAAGACTGGCTAGGCATTTTGTCCTTCCTGATATCTTGGTGTCGCAAACCTAAGAATCTATTTGAGTTAAAACATCCTCAAGCATCCTCTGAGCCTCTCACTTGATGTCCTGTTGTCAATGGTTCCAGGAAGATGGGTGAATGTCCTGTTGTTAAATGAAGAGTTGCATCCAGAGAGGCATTCTGGAAGGAACAAGAAGGTTTGAGTGATAATTAGTTCTCCAAATCTGCAAGTCAAAGGTCCTATAAACCTTTTGACTTTAGGGGTGCCATCAACACCATTTACAACACAGGTTTGATAAGAAAGGGGTTTGGAAGGCTTGAGGAAGGCAGAAAATGAAACTGTATCCAATCAGAAATTGATATTTTTATCTGCCATATCAAGAGTCACCTGAGCCAGGTGCGGGGTGTCCCAGTGGCTCTGGAGGTGGAAGCAGGAGGATCTTGAGTTCAAAGTCAGCCTCAGCAAAAGCTAGGTGCTAAAGCAACTCAGTGAAACCCGGTCTCTAAATAAAAAATACAAAATAGGGCTGGGGATGTGGCTCAGTGGTCAAGTGCCACTGAGTTGAATCCCTGGTACACCTCCCCCACAAAAAGTCACCTTAGGGGGCTGGGGATGTGGCTCAAGTGGTAGCGCGCTCGCTTGGCATGCATGCGGCCCGGGTTTGATCCTCAGCACCACATACAAAGATGTTGTGTCCGCCGAAAACTAAAAAATAAATATTAAAAAATTCTCTCTCTCTTAAAAAAAAAAGTCACCTTAGGATCTTCACAAGGGATCTCCAATTTGTTAATGGGGGCTATGTGAGACCTCGGGCACGTCCCATCCTTGAAAGCAGTCATCATGGGAACCAGATGTCCCAGCCTCCCTTTGGAGGTAGGGCCATTCTCTCCTCCAGTGGTTTCTCCCTTTGCATAGGGGACAAAGCTCAGGAAAAGTGGCCTCTGCTTGGGCAGTCCTTTCTCCATTCCCCGTATTCTCTGAAACTGAGACAGTTTTCCCCTTTTGGATTATATCTGCCTCTCTGGTGATCCTGAGGTACCAGGGTGTTACCTGTAGCAACAACAATTAATTAAACTTGTTCTCTACCCTGTTGCCATTCTCTCTGGATCTTCATAGTCTCTTCTATGAATCAAGATGATTAGAGAACATTCGAGGACCCATTTGATTTTAGAGCTTTCTGCAGATATCTGAGGCTGAATGGCTAATAAAATAAGACTCCAGCAAAATTTGTCCTTCCACAGAGCTAGATCAAAATTAGTAAACTTTCTGAGGAACTCAAATAGCCATCCAAAGAACAGAGCAGGGCTCTCATCTCTCTCTTGTTATTTCTTTGACTTTTTCATAATTCTCTGGTCTACTGAGGGCTGACAATGCTTTTGTTTCTTGATCTGTGTGCTGGTCACCTAGGTTTACATGTACTTTTTTTTTTTTGGTAAATGTATTATACTGCAACTTAAACATTCTGAGGATAATTTGCATTTATTATTTTTAAACAGATTTGTTTTTCTAAAGAAGCATGCATCCAAAGACAAGTCTCAGAATGGGTACCTGATGGCAGTGGAGGATACGCAGGACCAGAAAAGAAATGAGGTTTCAAAAATTGTCCTGAATAAGTAAGACAGAACTTTACTAACTCTACACCTGAGCACCAACCAGGTGAAAATTAGTACTCTGCCAACTTGGATTCTGTGTGCAGGTGACATGTGTGTGGTCCAGTGACAGGGTTCAAAAAATTGAAGAAAACAAGAATGGACAATTAAGGTTGTGTTGGGATCAGGGACAACTGAACAGATACTCCCATAATTAAGTATGTCCCCGCCTGCATGTGTGGGAGAAAAGGTACCATCTGAGAGCCCAGGGACTTCTCCCAAGGTAAGTTGCTTTGGTCAGCTAGTGCTTTGGTCCATTCAGCTGTAAAATGAGTTAGCCAGAGGTTGGGAGATGAAAATTCATTAATATATGTGAGAAGAGGCAGGAATTACTCTAATGATGGGCCCTCCACATGTCTGGGTTGTTCCTTTAATTGACTAAAAAGCCTACCTGTGACCTCCTGGATAAATACCTGAACTCTTCCTAGACAGCACAGGGTCCACTTCCACCTTGTAAATTTACACAAATTCCAAATTACTGGTGGAACCCTATAAGAGTTCATGAGGATTTACCGTGTATTCCTGGGTCTTTCCAGCTCAAAAAGAAAACTACTAAATGTCACGACCAGGGGTGTGGGAGTCTGAGTACTTCCCACCAAAGTTCTTTTTCTGAGATTTGGGTTTTATTCAAGTTCCAAGTAGAATTCCCGGCCTGACTCCAGAATCTCCCGGTGTCTGTGGGTCCACCAAAGGGGCTCCCTAGAATCATCCTGACTGGGATTGGTGGTGAACGCGGCCGGCACGTGACCAGGGACTGCGGTGTTCAGATAGCAGCGCGGTCGCCTGGCGTGCTGGGTCAGGAGCATGGCTGGGGGTACACTTTTCGAGGTAAGGATTTCTGCAGAGGTAGGAAGTTCACATTTTATTTCTGTGATTATTTTCCCCCCTGCTTATACTTTGAAGCATTCCGTGCTTCCGGACATAGTGGCTTACAAAGCTTTTGGGGACCGTGGCCTCCGAAGGCGTCCGGTCGCCTGACCTTAGGTTTACCCGTGGTTAAGGATAAGACAGTGTCTTGGTGACAACAGGGTCTTTGACGAACCCTAGGAACTGAAGTTGGGGAGGAGGAAGAGGCCTGCAGCAGAAGCGGGCTGCCCCTGAATTTCTGCCCTGTCGGACGCCGGGGGCGCGGGCGGGCAGCCCCACAGGCCATTAGCATGCAGGAGTCGCGCGCGCCGTCCTTGAAGGGCTGCCCGGCTGACCTTGCTCCGCTTTCTCCCGAGCAGTCTCCAGGAGCGTGCGAGGACGCGTTCACGGCGGTGACTCAGTGCCCTGCGCGCCGCATGCAAATGATCCTCTCCAGCAAGCCCAGCTCCGCAGCCTCGGCTTCCCCATTCTGCCCTCTTTTTAATTCTACGATTCCAACTCGGCGTTTTCCGCTCCATCCCCTCCCCCTCTTCACGGCCCGCCTGTCATTAGTCTGACTCCAGGAGTGTTTTATTTTCCATTCCCATCCCCAGAACTGAAGGCCAACCTTTGCGCTTCCTCGCTTAGGGCCGAGGGATCAGACGTGGCCATCCTAGTTGAGCCCCAAGCTCTGGGCGACCGCGATCTGAGCCCAGCCGGAGGGGGCGGTAAACCGCGCGCTGGAGCGCACGGGCGGACTGTGCCCAGCCGGATCCCCATTGGCCATCACCTCAGCGGGAGGGGCCGCCCCCGGCTTGGGGCACCTGCCGTCGCCCCTCCGTGGGGGAAATCAGCAGCTGCCGGGCACCCACTCCCGGAGGTAAAAGACAGCGGAGGGAAGGCCTGGGGCTGCGGTCGAGCTTCTCGCGGGCGGCCCTGTCCTGTTGCCGCTGCGGCGCCGGAGACATTCAGATGCCCCCTGCTCGGGCTGCTCCAGCCGGAAACTTTGCCCTGCGAAGTCCTCCGCCCGCCGGACCACGCTGTGAGACGCCGGTTCGGCCGCGCGCCGCCGGGGTCTCAGAACCCAGAGCGTGATTGCCGGGCCTCCCCGCACCCCGCGCCCGCGGCGCCCCGCGACCAGGATGCGCTACGCAGACCCCTCCGCCAACCGGGATTTGTTGGGAAACCGAACTTTGCTCTTCATCTTCATCTGCGCCTTCGCCTTGGTGACCTTGCTGCAGCAGATCCTGTATGGCAGGAACTACATCAAGAGGTAAGAAAGTCCGAGACACGGGGTGGGATGCACGAGGCTCACGGGCGAGCCCCCAGATGGCTGATGCTGTGGTCTCAGCATCCCCGGGGCGAGTGACCCTGGGATCTGCACCTAGTCCCAGGCACCGTTGATTTAGGCTTGGGTCATGGCGCTGCGAAGCGCATCTCAGCGGCCAGAAGAGCGCCTGCTCAGCGCTGGTTGTGTGTGTGTGTGTGTGTGTGTGTGTGTGTATGTGTTTAGGGGGAGCGGGGGGGGGGCTACAACTTTATTCCGCTGTTAAGAAATGGGGTGCAGTTTGGAATTCTAAGCAGCTAAACTGGCAATAAATCCTTTAGAATGCCCGAAGCGGCGGCGGGGATCAGATCCGGGCGTTCCCCAAACCTACAGTTCCGTGGCCATTTGATTGGAGCCCGAAGGGAAAGGGCTTAAAGTCAGGTAGAATTTTTTTTTTTTCAACCTGGTGAGTTCTGAATTTTTTGTACGGGCCGCTGAGGCATAAAAAGCATATTTTCTCCCCCAGGAGCATCGAACTAGGTAGCAGTGTTAATGGACTGTGGCAATGCACAGGGTTAGTGAATTCTTACAATTCCATAGCCATTGGTGCTGTGAAACTCCCAGCCTGATCCCTTCTGAAGGAGAGAATTCTCTCCCATCCTTAGGGCCAAAGGTCGGAAAAGATGGACTTTCCCCATCCTACCTCCATCCTTGGGTTTAACTCCACAGAGAGAAAGGGCAGTAGGAGGTGTTGCTCAGAAACACCCCATTCTGTGTGGGGACAGCCCCATTCCTTGTGGGAAAGATAACACCAAAATGCCAGCTGCCTCCCTCTGTGGCTCCATTGACTTAGAGGAAACGCTGCTGCGGTTCTCTGCCTGGCTGGGGGCTGGGGGAGGTTGGGGGGGAGGGTTGTCCTAGAATGCTCCTATACCAGAGCCTCTGGTGGTGGGAAGCCCCTTCCCCTTTCTGCTAATGGTTCATCCTCCTCTGTCTCCTGTGTCTCTCTGCTCTCTCCACTCTACCCCCAAACGGATAGGAAACAAAATGTCTCTCTGGCTTATAAGCATCCCATCTTCTTGAAACTTCCAAATAATGGAATGGTTTTGTTTTTTCTTTCCACCACTTTGGGGCCTACAACAGTCATTTGTGCTCCCAGTTGTGGCTGAGCATGAGGATGGGAGGGCTAAGGTTGCTGCTGGTGGTCTCACTCCCAGTGGGAAAACTAGGCAGTCAGGCTATTTCCCCTCTTTGTAACTACTCCTAGAACTGAGGAGTCTGTGGTGACTCCTCCCAAACCTTTGTTTCCAGCTAGTCACTGCTACCATCCCAGAGAGGCTTCTTCCTTGGGGGGCAGCAACTCATGTGCTCTTCTCTGTGGCCCCCATGGCTTTAAAGAACATTTTCAGAGTTTCCTGGCTTGTTGGATCTCACAGGACCTGCCTCCTATTTTGGTTCCTGTTTTACCCTGAGATGACACCATGTGCCAACAGCTGGGTCCCTGAATCAGCTGCCGGGGACCCTGCAGGCCCTTTGCCTGCTGCTGTCTTGGTACTTTCTTTTCAGTAGGGCAGCTCTGGGTTCCTGCCCCCTACTGGTACCTCAGTGGAATTGCTGGGGCTGGATTCCTTCTGCCTGGTCAATAGGGCCAAGTATCAGTGCCAGGGCAAATGCCAACTGAATTACCTGCTTGCTATGGCAGGCCCTGCCTGATCTTGGGTGGATGGGCCAGCTGCCCAGAGCCCAGAAGGTACTCCAGTTGCTTCCCATCCGCTCTCCCTCAGAGACCCTGACCCCCTACATTGCACGATGCCACCTTGCAGGGTCACTCCTGAGACTCAGTTTAATCCAGCCAAGCAAGCACAATGTCTGTGTGCTCTGATCCTGGAAGGGAGTACTGGGGACAGTAGAGAAGGAGATAGATGATGCTGTGCTGGTGCTCAGGGGCTTTGAAGTCTATTTGGGGAAACATAGTAGCACAAATGAGATAGGAAGTAAATGAGAAGAGAGAGCCTAGTGGACTGGAATACTTGAAAGACTGCCTGGAGGAGGCGCAACTTGAGTGGGTCTTGAAGGAAGGATTAGATAAGGAGGGGTGGGGGGGACAAGCATATCTAGAACTAAAGAGAGCAGGAATAGAGGTGCAGAGATGCAGGTGTGGTATATCCCCTCATCTCTCCCACACCTGACCCTACCTGCACCTCTCTACTTGCTCTATCCCTGGTTAGTCTGTCAGTGAGCTGCCAGGACCACAAGCTAGACTGTGGCTGCCACATGAGTTGCATCCATAGCACTTGCTTACCTATCTTGTTTTCTGTGTGCACCATCATTGTAATGAGCTGGCTTATGTGAACATGAGTGTGACTCCTGTTGGAAACATCCCATCAGTATTCCCCAAGCAGAGGCCAGCACTGAGACCACCTGGAGGGCCATAGAGATGCAAATTCCTGGGTTTCTGGAGCAGATAACCTGGGGTATGATCTTGTGAATGCCTCATTAGCAGGTTCCCAGGGAGACCTGTAGCAAGCTTCTCCTGCTCCATACCAGGGATTCTAGATTGAGGGCAATTCTTAATAGGCAGAGGCTTTTTTTTTTTTTTTTTTAGATTGTCACATGTGAAAGAGGAGAGTGCTACTGGCACCCTGTGGGAAGAAGCCAGAGGCACTACAAACATCCTCCAATTCATGGTCTGGCCCCCAAACAAAGAATTATCCAGATTCAAATGTCAGTAGTGCTGAGGTTGAGAAACCTTGCTTTCCACCGGAAGCTCCATAAGGTGGGGATTCAGTGTCTTCTTCCCAGCGTTGAGCTCCACACGTGTGTGTAGCAAGTAAGCCCTCAATAAATATGGATGATGGATAAATGATTGGGATGGGCGAGGAGTGTGTGTGTGCACGTGTGGACAGAAGAGACATATTGAAGAGATGGATCCAGTGGTGTACAGGGAAGAAGCAAGCAGCTGTACCAGTGGTCAGTGGCTTTAGTGAAGTGCTTTGAAGACCAAGAAGGAGAACTTGACTTGGTTCATTGGGCCATAGGGAGCCATGTATGGTCCTTGAACAAGGTGGTGTCATAATAAAAGCCACAAAGATGGAAGCTTATCTGGGCTTTTTACAGGAAGGGGTAGAGAGGGAAAGAGGCTGGAAAGTATTATTAAAACACCATGTCAAGAAAGAAGTCAATTTGGTACAAGGATTGAGTCCACGTTAGCATATGGGGTTTCCTGAAGGCTGGCATTCTTCACTTCTCCACTGAACTGGTGTCATACCACCTCACAAAGACCTCAGGGGCACAGAGATGGCAGAGTTGGTCCGGTGATTTAGGGACAGATTGCTGCAGAAGGAAGTGGGGGATGTAAGTCAATGTGCATTTATTTCCTTGGACCTTTGGCCTCTCCTGGGCTTCAGAGAGACTCACTGTGAGCAGTCATGACCTGGGGAATCCATCTTGGTCTGAAAGTGGGAGAAAGAAGGGGGTTGTGGATGGTATCTTGGAGGAAAAGGCATGGAACAAAGCCGTGAAGTTTGCCCTTGATGCTCTTGGCTTCCTTGTCCTTGCTTAATTGAAGAAATAACTTAATGAAGGCTTACTTTATGCTGAGCACGAGCCCAGGTGCTTAGGATACAGTGGGCACTGAGACAGACACGGTCCTTGGTCCCTGGTTTGGGGGGTGGGGTGAACCAGAGGAGGAGGAGGGAGCCGAAGTAAATCAGTGTGCTTCATGGTTCACAGAAGCCTTTGAAGGAGGTCTTAAAGAGAAATGGTCCACAGGCTTAGGTGGAGATGGGAGGAAGTGGACGAATCCAGTTTAAGCAGGAATTGAAGAGAACAAGGAAAACCTGAGTGTTCTGCATTATAAAGTTAGGACTGTGTTGGTGGGGCAGGTAGGGCAGGCAGGGCCAGGTTATGAAGGACCAGTAGGACTGTGGGAAAAGAGGCACATCTGGAGGAAAGAGAATTGCAAGTCTGGGTCTGAATCTGCTCAAACACTGGAGCTGCAGATAGGGAAGACCCAGCTAGCAATGTAAACTGTGGAGTTGCCAACCATCAAAATCATGAACTTTCATGATTGTGATGCATAGTAGTAGGAAATACTTGGCCTTATTTACAAGAAATATGCTCTATTATTTTTTATTCTACTTCATTAAAAAACTTCTACTTTATTTAAAAAGTGCAATGGAATATTATTCAGTCCTTAAAAAAAAGGAAATTTGGACACAGGTTACAAGATGGATGAACCTCGAGGAATTGTGCTTAGTGAAATAAATCAGGCACAAAGGGATAAACATGGTGCCATTTCACTTATGTGAAGTAGCTAGAATCGTCAGATTCATAGAGATGGAAAGCAGAAGGATGGTATCTCCATACCACCCTTGGTGGTTGCACCAATTTGCAGTCTCACCAGCAATGTATGAGTGTGCCTTTCCCCCCATATTCTCAACAACGTTTATTATTAATGTAATTCACTGAATTCCTTTAACAACATGGAATAGTTTCTAGTACCATGCTCATTTTGTAGATGGGAAAACTAAGGCACAGGAAGGTTAAGTAATTTGTTTAAGGTTACATAGTTATGACCAGAGGTATTTTCATTATCTTTAATTCCAAGTATTTTTCAATTTCTGTCTTGATTTATTTTTTTACCTATAAATTTAGAAACATTTATAGGTCAAAAATTTCCAGGTACTTTGTGTCTTTTATTTATTTTGTGATTTTATTAACTCAAAGCTATTATAATAAGATAATGATGCTGATTTGCCTTTTTCAACATTTGTGTGTCTTTTATTTTGTCTCTTGCTACCAGTACATAGTTACATTGTTTTTCTTTTTCCTTTTTTTGGTACTAGGGATTGAACTCAGGGGCATTCAACCACTGAGCCTCATCCCCAGCCCTATTTTGTATTGAGTTGCTGAGTTGCTTAGAGCCTCACTTTTGCTGAGGATGGCTTTGAACTTTCCATCCTCCTGTCTCGCCCTCCTGAGCCACTAGGATTACAGGCATGCAC